CATTCCTGCAGTGCCTCAAGTAAGTGCCTCAGCATTCATCTGAAGGTCACCTCTAGACATTTGTAGTGTGGGGCATGTCAGCTCAGGAAAACTTATCCAGATTAAATCTAGTTTAGCTAGATTTATTTTGGAAGTATGCTAATTAAGACAATTGTAAATCTATATTGCCAGTTAACTAAAGGCTTACTGCAAATTCGCGGTTTTATGTAATTTATATCAAGTTTAAACTTTTGTTCACAAGAGTCAGGATCAGGCAAACTTACAGCCTGAGTATCAGTTGTTGCCATTCACACAGATTGACCGTGGTGCCCATTGATATGGGTCAGATAACCACCTTGTTTGCAACTTCCCTAAGAAAACAGAAATTACAAACAGTTCTCATGTTAGTAGTTGCCCCTCTTGACCTAAGCTTAAACTGACAGCCTCAAAATACAATGATCTTGCATACCATCTTCAATTTTTATTTCACTGACACTTAATAAATTACAGCATACCTCAGTGTTCCAACAGCAGACTGAAAACTTGTCTTCTGATGTGCTGTCATGCTCTTTGACAAGCCCAGTATCTGCCAAAGTTAAATGGTTACGAAGAAGCTTCTGAAAATTCCTGAAAGAGATAAAGAAGTCATAACTCAATCAAAGTTACGCACTACTCAAAGCCCTCAGAAGCTTCACAAATCTATATAATATGACTCCTTTTTCTCTTTGAAATCTTCTGCATCGAGGATTTATTAAATTTTCAGCTAAAAATTATAACAGAATTAGTATAAATAAATAAGATCTTTGGCAACATAAGTGTATTTAGCAGCTGGCTGTGGAAACTCTATCTTGTTCTGTGCCTAATTATGCTCCATGCCTGATCATGCCTGAAGCTTCACACACATGTGCTGCAGTTTAATAGGATGTAAACTAACATTTTTCTTTCAAATGTTTAGGTGCTTTGTTTACAAAAATTAAGAATGGAGTTTAAAATTTTATATAAATAATAGGTTAGTATTGACTACTGAAATGAGGGTTTTATAAGTTCAATAGAACTGATTGCAACACTTTTAGCAATTTTGAATGTTTTTAGTAGTAAACTTGGTTGGGCTAAACACTATGTTAAAAGTCTTTTTTAGTCAAACTTTAATATAAAAAAATCTTGCTACCTTTTCATTGTATGTTTACTGACAACAGCCCCCTTCCTTATGACTCTTAAGTTATCACTTTGAGAATGTTATTAATAAATGTTTCTTGGGGAAAAAACAGTTGAGTAATTGCTTTGTTCTGACTCGTCTTTTTCTTACTGTGAATGTTCATGGCAAAACAGTTAACACTTCATAATACCAAGTAAATTAAAAATTCATGATACACCCCCATAAATATGTTGTTGCAGTTTTTATCCATCCTGCCTGATGTATAAAGGTTACGATTCTCTTTGTAAATACCCATGTGGTGGGTTTGGTGAATTGCGCCCCCCTCCCCACCGGGTATGGGGGGAGAACTGAAGCCTGTGAACTGAGCTTCCCGCACAGCTGTTAGCCATGGGGCTCTGTGAAAGTACAGCTGACAAACAGCGAGTTAGAAATCTAACACGTGCAAACTTCTCAATGGTCACAAGCTTACTTGCATTCAACCTAGAAAACAGTGCTGTAGAAGCATTGTTCAACTGAATGTACGTAGCCTTACACATGAAGGGCAAGAAGAAGCCAAGCTTCAGTCTTGAAACCCAGGCTGGGTTGGAAATGTTGGCGGGGTAAAAAAACAACCACTGAACCTGAATATACTTGATATGCGATCCTTGAGACATCCCTAGAACCCTCTTGTGTGTTTGTATTTAACATGATTTTAAGTATTTTAAGCATCTTCTGCTCATACACTGGAGATGCCAGTAGCATTGAGTTACAATAATTGAGTACTTAACTGGGAGAAAACTCTCCAAAATGCTCTTTGAATTTACTTATTTTAAAAAGTAGAGAAGTTAGGAAGAACAGGCACAGCTGCAATTGGCAAACTTGTTTTTCACTGTCTATTCCCCAAGCATTCTGTTCTTAAGGCCGCTACATTCAACACCAGCAAAACTGCAAATCTCAGGGGCTTCAGAAGAGAGAAGGCAAGCAGGAGAGAGGTACTTTCTTCCAAGGAAGAGGGTTACCATTATCAGGTAACAAGTGCTTGCTGTTTAGATCAATCCAATCTTCACAATACAATTCTATTTAAACATAAGAAAAAGCTTTTCACTGTGAGTGTGGTCATACACTGGAGCAGGTTTCCCAGAGAGGTTGTGGACATCCTTGGAGATACTCAAAATACAAGTGGACATAGGCCCGGCAGTCTGCTCTAAGCAGGGGGGTTGGACTAGGCAATCTACAGAGGGGCATTCCAACTCTACTGCTCTGATTATTAAGGCATTTTTCTGCTTGTTTTCCAGCTTGAATAATCTGCAAATTTTTTTTTCTTGATAGAAAAACTCAAATTTTATCACCACAACATGGGTTTTGTTTTCACTTGGAATAATTTACTTCCAGTAAACTGTTAGATTTAAGCATATTTAAAAGTTGTTGTCTTTGGATTTGTAATGCTTCCAGAAGCTAAAGCACTGTTTTATTTTCAAGTAGCCTATATAGCATGTTTTAGTATGTGAATGATTTATCTTTCTAATTTTTGAGGCAAGAAGGAGGAGAGCAACTCAGACTGTTATCCCTTTTGTCAGAAGTGAGTGATCAAAGTTCAAGGTTTTGTGTTCTTGAGAGGGGCTGATGATGGAGGCTCAGGTATCTCTGGAATCCCTCTTATTTATAAAGAATGTGCAAGATCCTGTTTCCCTGAACACAGAGGGCATCAAATAGCTGAGAATAGTTTTTTTGCTTGAGCTCAAAGACCTTTTAACCAAGAAAGTGTTTAGATCAAAGAGCTCCCTTTCAGCTTTTTCTTAGGAGTGTGCTCACAGGTATTCTGCTGCTGGTTTTCTTTTCCTTCTCCTGCTTGTGTGCGTACTTGCCTCCTTTCTTTCCTCTTTTGTATTTGGGGCAATACCACTGTGTTTTGAAGTATCTTTGCACATTGCTTTGTCTTGGACAACAATATATGCCTCTATTCCAGTATGGAGACCAGAGCTTACGAGGAGATTTAATTTTCTGGACTCTTAAAACAAATGCAGCAGTCCTATCCACCAGCTCAATCCACCAGTAACAGTAGTTTAAAACGCTAGCTTATCTCCTGCACATCCTTTGCTGTGTTACTGTCCCACTGACTTTCTGTCATTGCATTAATGTTGGTGCAGCAGCCTGGCTTAGATTTGAAAAACAAAAAAAGTAAAGAAAGTTTTTTACAATTTTATCAGAGGCTGAAATGTGCTTGTGCTGGCTCTCCCCATGTTTCGCAGAAAGACTACCAGAATATATCAACTTCTGTATTGTACGTGCTTGGGAATACAAGGAAAGACAACAGGTATTGGTACCTTTAGAAGTTCAACAATAACTCAGTTACTTTAATTTCAAGCTTTGTTGTGATGTGTCCCTATCAAAGCTACAAGAAAAGTGGGGTTCTTTTAAGTAATGTTTCTTTCAAAAGGTAACGGAGACCATGCTGGGAAATTGATCCATCCTCATGGATTTAAGGCAACTAACTGTACAAAATTCACGAACAGGTATTTCTCTGGTTGGTGAGTATTTCTCTGGTAGCTGATTTCAAAAATAAATTTTAAAAGTACATTTACATTATAGTAACAATGGAAAACAAGAGCAAGGGCGTGCCCATTGGTACCTTTTTCTCTAAG